GATTTCTGTGAAGAGTATGACGTTACTTTCAAAATTCTTAAACGCATAATGAAGACAAAACATGGAAAAGTGAAATTGCATAGATACCAGAGTGTATGTTGTGCTAGAATACAGGTTTCAGAGTCTGTAGTTATATAGCATAACCTCTAACAAGGCTCACCAGAAAGAAGGCAAAATTTAAGTGGGAGTCTGCTGAACAAATGGCTTTTGAAAAACTATAATCATGTCTGATAAGCCCGCCAATACTTTCTATTCCTGATGAGAATGTTGGAGCATTTATTTTAGATACGGATGCAAGTGGTAACACTATATCTGGATTATTTCTCAGTTACAAAATGGTCAAGAAAAAGTCATAGCATATGGTAGTAAAACTTTAAATACTGCTTAACAAAACTATTGTGTCACAAAACGAGAGCTTTTTGCAGTAGTTCATTTGCAAATTCATCATAAGAACTGACCACAAAAGTTTGACTTATTTACATTCTTTCAAAGAGCCTGAAGGTTTATTAGCTAGATGACTTAGTATTCTAGGAGAGCATTTGAATATGATATTGTATATCGTGAGGGCTCAAAACATTTAAATGCAGATAGCCTTACACGTCAAGTAAAACGTCACTGTAATATAACTAACTGTCCTGAGTGTTTTACATCAAACAAGTTAAAACAAAATCATAAAAAGTCATTTTATAATGAAAATAATGAAAATCAAAATCACTCAAATGTAAAATCTTCAAAACAGTTAGAAACTGAATATTGTGATGTTCAAAGTCAATTTGACCCTATTGAAGGTCAAGGACAAAACAAATTGTTTCCTGAGTTTAAAGGTGAAAGTTTAAATTGCATAAACTCTGTTAACGAAACCTCTGAGTTGTCAAAATCTGAGATAAATTGGTTAAATTGTTGGTCTCATGAAGAATTAATCAATTTTCAGAAAAATGATGTTGCAATTAAGGAACTGATTATACTTAAACAAGTTCATTCTGATAAACCTGATAAGTCAAAATTGTCAGTTGCTGACTCTGATTTGATAAAATTATGGCAGAATTGGGAAATACTGGAAGTACATAATGACCTTTTGTATTGTAAAAATACTGATTGTATTGGGCAGAGTACTTTAAAATTAGTAGCCCCTGAAGAGATAAGAAAATACATTTTTGAACATCTTCATTGTCAAAGATATGCAGGTCATTTGGGAAGAGATAGAACTATTGAAGCAATTAAGCGCCGTTTCTATTGGTCCGGCATGAATAATGACATTGCATTATGGGTACGTCAATGTGACCTTTGTGCACGTTGCAAACCTGGTCCCGGGAAGGGTAAATCAGAACTTAGTCAGATTCGAGCCCATAGACCGATGGAAATATGTGCAGTAGACATTTTAGGTCCTTTGCCTCTTACAAAGAATAGTAATGAATATATAATAGTCTTTGGTTGCTATTTCACTAAGTGGAAGATGGCCTTTGCAGTACCTAATCAAACTGCATATACAGTTGCAGATACCCTAATCACAAACGTTTTTCTACAGTTTGGATTTCCTTCCCAATTACACACTGATCAAGGGAGAAATTTTGAGTCCCAGTTATTTTCGGCTATGTGCAAAATCTTACAAATTGATAAGACACGCACATGTCCATATAACCCAAAATCGGATGGGATGGTAGAAAGATGTAATAAAACATTGATACAGATGCTGACAAATTTTGTTTCATCTGAAGAAAATTATAGGGATTGGGATGACCATCTTCCATTTGTTATGGCAGCATATAGGGCCACTGAACACTCAAGTACTTGTTGTACACCAAACTTACTCATGCTGGGTAGAAATATTGAATACCCCATTGACTTAATGGTAGGTCCTCCCCCGGGTCAAAATGACACTTATTGTCCTATTGAATATGTTGAATGGTTTAAATCTTCAACAAGAAAAGCATTTTTGTTTGCAAATGATCAATTAGGCATATCCGCCACAAGACAAAAACGTTATTATGATAGGGGTCTTAAACCTAGAGAATTTAGTTCTGGTGACTGGGTCTGGAGGTGGTACCCTCCTACTGCAAATAAGAAATTAGCTTTGGGATGGACAGGTCCATACCTAGTCACAGAAAAACTGACCTACTTAACATATAGGATTCAAAAATCCAAAGACTCAAATCCCATTGTTGTACATATTGATCACCTTAAGCCATATGAAGGTAGTCAAGTGACAGGGAACTGGTTGAGTAACCGCCCTACCATTGATACCAATATTAGCATATGTAATGATGCCACTGATTTGGCGCATAATGTAAATTATGATAATGGTGATGTCACAAATGAGACAGATGATGTCATGAATGATGACACAACAACTACTGTACCTTTTGTCCCAAGAACTAGAAGGGAACGAATTGTAAAAACCTAGGCAAATATATAGTCCTAGTTAAAAGTTCAGATGTGATGAACAAATATAAAATACCTAATCATTGTATATATAAATAAATTTTCAGTGTGGAAAATGTGTTAATTTAAGTGTTAATTGACCTTATACAGTGTGTAAATATGTTTGTTAAAAAAATTGATAAAATATAAAGTTTAAAATAATTAAGATATGAAATAAAGTTTAAAGTAGCTTATCATGCACATGTCATGTTTTATAACATGCAATGTTTGAAATACTGTTTGTTTAAATTATTGTTTAAACTTGTAAGTTTCATATCAATGCTAATATACATTAATAACATCATATTTATGAAATGTGTAAATATTTAGATAAAGGGAAGTAAACCCTGTATTTGATTGTATGTGCATGAATGAAAGAATTGCCTCCCTTACTTTTTGAAAATATGTTAATATATAAAAACACTTATATGTAAATTGAAAGTGTAATGAATTTCAATTTTATAGTAATCTATGTCTATGATAGTCGAATATCTTTTTACGATAAATTGTACATTTCAGTATAGTACTCTGGCTCAAGCTATGTTGAATGATACATCCATTAGACCACTGTGGCCGATGGAATCTATTGTGATACATCTCCAGCAGTTATACCCATCTCTAATAATATTATGTTTCATGATATATTTATTATTGTATGGTGGTTGTTTTGTGCCACGTTATATTTTCACTCTGCGGGGCGCCGGAGAGAAATTCGACAAAGTCAACATTTTGTATAAGAAAAAATATGTTGGCATTTTTACGGAACGAAAGTCAAAATTATGACAAAGTAAACATTTTGCTTCACGGGGGCCCAAAGGCGAAAACACGATATACAACAGTCACCACTTTGTTGTACTTTTTCTCCGCGAGGGGAAAATATGACATGGCACAAATCAGCCACCATATACATACCACAGTTATTAAGTGGTGATATGTAAAAAGCCGATAGCATAGTCGGTAGAGCCATGAATTTGTATTGTCACCATCTGAAAATTCTTAGACAGGCCGCACATTTTTCAGACCGGGTATATTTGTAAATTTAGGTAATAAATTGATTTATTTTCAAACTTTAAGAAAATAAGTAAACAAAGTCAAAACTTTGTTAAATAGAATGGTGAATCACAAATTTACTATGATAATATATATGCTATAGTCATATTGAAGAATATTTAACATTAAAGATTAGGTGGAATAAGGCAATTGTAACATTTGTCTAAATGAAAACTTCTAGAAATTCAATTAAATCACAGACAGGATTACATTTATGTTTGTACATGTTGAGACATGGGATTTTAAGAATTATCTTAATACTAATCAAAACCTGTTTATCAATTTGTTTTTACTTCATTGAGTCGTATGGGACTTTCTTTATTTCCTTTGTAAATTGTTAAGAATGAATTAGAAAAGCTTCCCCATTTGACTGTGTTACAACAATTAAAGTAACTTATTGTGAGTTGACAGGGACAGAGAGCAAAGGGGAAAGCAACTTTCTGTCCCACTAACGATGAATTAACTCACCATTTGGGTAATTAAATCTTTGTTAATTATAAAGCGGATATTTTAACAAAACGATAGCGTTTTTTTCTTCTGAACAACTAACTTTTATAAAAGATATTAAACAAATCAATTAACAGCACTTTGCTTATTTAACACGATTTTGAACAACAGAATTGCTTAACAACAAATTGTAACACATAATTTAACAATCTTTTAGTAATTTAGCAATAATTTCGTTGTTAAATATCTAACAGTTTTGAACAACTTGGTCATTGTATTGATGTTATAATAAGTATGTATGTTGTGCTATTTTAAACATTTTACGAGCCTCTACTTCAAATTTCATTGAAACATTTATTCGCAATGTTCAAAATACACTGCACATGTATATTCGCTTTATCAATAGTAATGCATTGTATATCTTCCAACACAGATATCAAATAGACATTCAATAAGATATATCAAAATAACTTGTGACATTTTGTATACAAACTTTTGCGTAATTGGATGTAAGATGCCTAAAAGCTAAATTTGTGTCAGGTCTGAGTCCTTTTTGCGGGGCACCACAATTTATCGTCACTTTGGTCACTTCATAATTTGTCTTTTTAACATGAGCGAACTACGTGCCCTTTTATGTTGTCTTAAAACCGATAATTCTTTTTCAAAAAGATTCCTGTTCACTGCACATTCATTTGTGATAAATCAACCATCTTTAGCGTTTAATCTAACATTTTTACGAAATAATTGAAGAGCTAAATGACTGCGGTCTGACAACATTTTCAGGCTGGAAACTTTACAAATACCAACGAACAAATACAAAACCTTGAGCAATCTAACTTTAAAATTATGTGTTTACCCACCATATGGTTAATGTATTTTTTTGTTAAATTTAAGGTTAGTATAACGTATAGTTGATGAACTTGCCTGATATGAATTATCCCATAAGTTTACATTTTACTTATTAATAAAAAGATTTTTATTTTTTTTATTGAATAATTAAAATTCTCTATGTTTGACGAACAAAGATTAAAACCGATTAGTATGCCCTATGTAAACATATTTTGAAATATTAATTATTTTCTTAGTTCGGTTGGTTAACGGATCAAGTCAATATGAAGGGAGACTTGAAGTTATGCACGATGGGTCTTGGGGAACTGTATGCGATAATGGGTTTGATACACTGTCTGCAAGTGTTGTTTGTAAGATGCTGGATTACCCACCGTAAGTCAAATCTATGAAATACAAACAAACTTTTCAAACGTTTTTGTTTGATGCAAAGTATTTTCAGTAGAGTTTAAGACATAAAATGAACAATAGTAATTGATCGGCTTATGATTTTTCAAAATAATTAATTTTCATGTTCTTGTCTAAGTCAAACAAGTTTAAGTCGTTAAATAAATTATTGCATTACGTTAAAAATGACTTTTATTTAGATATACATTGTTTACATTGTATCTGAGTTTGTTTGATAAAAGAAATGTTTTCCTTTCCAGAAATAATACTCTGGTACTCGGATCCGCACACTTTGGCGCTGGTACATTTTCAATTTATTTAGACGATGTCAAATGTACAGGAAATGAAACATCGTTATCTCAATGTACGCATAAGGGTTGGGGAAAACATAATTGTAGTCTCAAAAATGTTGTTGGTATTTCATGTCCACCAGGTAACTTAGCATGTGTGTTTTTTCTATTATTCCGTAAACTATTTTAATGAAAAAAAAGCAATATTGCCTTACTCCACAATATTTAATTGTTAATAAGCAAATGCGTAAAGAAAGTGGTAGCCTGTATACATCAAAAGTTATCTGACTTTAAAGCTCAATATACATGTATTTGTAAATGCTTTTGTCATAGAGTAAAATAGTAAAAATAGTGTGCAAAATGTACCTTTGAACAAGTACATTTCTTAAGACAACCAACAAATATTGTCTTATTGAATCTCAATTGAGTTTTGTCAACGTATATTTATCCCTTACTAGTTTTTGTTGCCAGTCGATTAAATTAAAGGTGAAAAGAGAATAACATCAGATACTTGCACCTTCAAAATTAATACTTGTTGTTTATACTTGCAAGCATACATTAACGGTACCTGACTTACATGATGTGCATACTTCAAACCAGTGTTTTTTTGTTTGTTTTTTTTATGTCCCACTGACCGCTTATTAACATATTCGATCCCCAGATCTTATAGTTTTAAAGGGCTATAATTGAACATTTTTGATGAGTCGGTAGCTTAGTTGACCGGTCAGACTGTCAGGACAAACGGGAAGACATTTGGTACCGAAGATAATAGTAGATAAGAGTAAATTCTATTATTTCCGTTTTTTTATGCTTTGACTTACATGATGTTCATACTCGAAAGTCGTGTGTTTTTGGGTTTTTTTTTATTTAAGCTCAGCTGTGAGCTTTTGTGATCGCTTTCGTTCGGTGTCCGTCCGTCCGTCCGTAAACTTTTACTTTAAACGACATCTCCTCATAAACCACTTAGGCCATTTCATCCAAACTTCACAGGAATGTTCCTTTGGTAGTCAACTTAAAAAATGTTCAAAGAATTTAATTCCCAGCAGAACTCTGGTTGCCATTGCAACCGAAAGAAAAAAACTTAAAATATCTTCTTTTAAAAAAACGTAAGAGCTAGAGCTTAAATATTTGGCATGAAACATCATCCAGTCAGTGTCTATCAAGTTTGTTCAAATAAATACCCTGTGGTCAAAATTGGCCCCGCCTGGCGGGGTCATTGATTTTCCTTATTTGTAGAGTAAAGTAAAAACTTAAAAAATCTTCTTTAAAAAAATTCAAATAGATAGAACTTAGCTATTAAGCATGAAACATCTCCTAGTAGGTGTCTACCAAGTTTGTTCAAATAAAAGCCCTGTGGTCAATATTGGCCCCACCCCAGGGGAAACCTTTAGAGCTAGAGCTAAGATATTTAGCATGAAACATCTTCTAATGTGTGTCTTCTATTTTTGTTCAAATAAGGGCCCTGGGGTTAAAATCGGCCCCGCCCCGGGGATCAATGATTTTTTTATATGTATATACAATACAAAACAATATGTAGTAAAAACTGAAAAAATCTTCTGTTAAAAAACCCAAAGAGCTAGAGATTAGATATTAAGAATGAATTATCTTCTATTGAGTGCCTACCAAGTTTGTTCAAATAAAAGCCCTGGGGACAAAATTTGCCCTGCCCAAAGGGGGGGGCATTGTTTTTCCCTATATATGAATAGTAAAAACTTAAATAATCTTCTTAGAGTCAGAGCTTAGATATCTATCATGAAACATCTTCAAATGGGTGTCTACTACGGTTGTTCAAATAAAAGCCCTTACGTTAAAATCCCCCCGGGGGCAAATATACAGGTAAGCGATTTCAGGGGCCATCCTGGCCCTTTTGTTTATAAACACATTCGTACCCAAATTCACATATTTTAGATAGGGTCTACTTGAACAATTTTTATGCGTCGGTTAGTTAGTCGACCGGTAGGACTGTAAGAACAAAGGAAAAGACAATTGGTACAAAAACAATAGATAAGAGTGAATTATATTAATTACGTTTGTTATGCTATGGATTTATTGGAAACATTTAAAAATAATGAGTTTCCCTACAATGCTCATTTGTAGTGTAGTAATCCACCTTGTTCACTATAGATCCTAAAACCCTATTTTCTTCATACTTTGCTCAAGAATTGCTCAGAACCAATGACGCTGATGTTCCGACTTAAGATCAAATGCTAGACACTTCCACGATTGCTTTAAAATTGCATATTCCTTTTATGGAATTATTTTCGAACTTCAGTGAAATAGTTTTATTCTTAACAAGAACATATACAAAACTAATGCTCATGAAAAAAGAAAATATTATGATCATCCTAATTGATATGCAAAATATCAAATATAATTTGTGCTATTCTAGATGTTCGATTGGTGAACGGGTCAAATCAATTTGAAGGGAGACTAGAAGTTTGGCATAATAAGCGGTGGGGAACAGTCTGCCATGATTATTTTGATGAGCGCGATGCAACTGTTGTTTGTAGGATCCTGAATTATCCACAGTAAGTAACAATTATTATCTTTTAATCAATTAACTTTTTCCGAATATGCAAATATGCATGTTATAATATGAAATGTCAAATTAACGTCTTTCACGTACCTCGTATGGATTTTAGATAAAACAATTATGAACCTGAGCATATGATAAATTTGTATTATAATTTTGTTAAAACTCATACAAAAACAACGTCCAGCATGAAAACAGAGAGACGGTAATTCTTAAAACTTAGCATTATTCAGTTGCCGCTTGTTCGAAGCAGATATTTTAATGTTATAGGCACATTGGCAAAGCTGGCATTCAATAATGGGCAAACCAAGTGACTCGCACAATATCATGAAGAATATATTCAAAAACCCGAATTCAGACAAACACTTAGGCTTATAGAAAATATGTCATTTTTTAGTTTTTACTTCTCTTTTGTCTCATAAACCGTGTATGTTCTAATGGATAATCCTCAGCCAGTGTGAGGATGATTTCTGGCGGCATCCATTTGTGCGTATCAAATTAAAGCTAATGAATGTCATTTAAAGCCTTACATCATCAGAAGCAATCTACGAAAAATGGTATGTGTATACTTAAAGAACGTTTTCTTAAACAACAAGTTAACATCGAGCTAGAAAGAAAAATCGGAAAATATTATTCACGTCACATTAAACACTGAACTCAGTGGTTTATTCCATTTTATATACTTTAAAATGTATACGTTGTTAATTGTTTACTGAGAAGCGTCTTACGTTTTCACGTTTTGAAACATAAACACAATAGCTACAATATCACCAAAGACTAATATATGATCAAGTGAACCGTGTACCGAAATTCGCTATTCTTTTAACTTTGAAACACCTCACCGATTATCCGGTGACCGATATGTTGCTGTTATCCTCATATTGACACATAAAATAATTCTTACTTTCCCGTCCATTGAACAATTAAACAATATCTTCCACAGCTGCAAAGAGACAATCACATGCTTTTTAAAGGCCTCAGAAATGCTATCATTTTTTTTATTTTTCAAAAACTATTATAATTTTGATATCTTGTGACAGTTCCCAAAAAAATATTATTTTGCCATATACATCGCCTATCTTTTGCTGATTTTGTTTCATTGAAAGTCTGTTTTTGGCAGCTATGAATATATTATTTTTTTTACATTAAATCGGACTGAGATGTCATTCCTTATATATGATGCATCCAGTTAAAACATTAGAATGCTTTGAAAGTGAGATAAATGTTTGACGAATCAATCTGTATAAAAGAGCATAAAAGAAATTTTAAATAATTGATTTCTCAGAAACAGAACAACCACATCCGTTTCGTTGACGTTATTAAGAAATGAAAATGTTACACTCCATTGCTGATGGGCAAAAACATATCAGCAGATAACAAACCTTATTCCGATATGTGCTCATAGATATCTCAACATATGTGTGAAGATTATTGCAAGAGCGGAAACATTAGAATTTTGCACAGCAATCCATATGGAAGGAATATTTGCCGGTTTTGTTATCCCACGCCGATGGAATCGAGAGGAGTTATTGTTTCGGCGCTGTCCGTCCGACCTTTCGTCCGTCCATCCATCCGTTCTAATTTTGTTTCCGCGCTAGTTTTCTGCAACTGCTGGCTGGAATTCAACGAAACTTAATGAGAACCATCAAATAATGAATGCCAATTGGAGATGCGCATATTGTCGCCTTGTTCCGGTCCAAGCCTTCAACACAGAGTTATGGCCCTTGATTATGCATATAAAGCAATAATCGTTTCGTGCTATATCTTTGCAACCACTGGCTGGAATCCAACGACACTTTATGGAATCGTTCAATACTAAAAGGAGATGCGCATATTATTGCCTGACTGCTGTCAAATTATATATCACAGAGTTATGGCCCTTGATTAGTTATGCAGTATGCATATACAGCAATAATCGTTTCCGTGCTACTTCTCTGCAACTACTGGCAGAAATTCTATTGAACTTTATAGGAACTATCAATACCATGAGGTTATGCGCATATTGTTGCCTTAATCAGGTCAGACCCCTCATCACAAACCTATGGCCCTTAATTCATTATGCAGTACGCATATAGAGTAGTAATTGTTTCTCTTAGAAACCACTGTTAGGAATTCAATTAAACTTAATGGGAACCATCAATACCAAGAGGAGATGCGCATATCCTTGCCTTGTTTAGGTCAAACCTTTTGACACAGAGTTATGGCTCTTGATTAGTAATGCATTATGCATATAGAGTAAAAATAAGTTTCGTGCTATTTAACTGCAACTACTGATATGAATTCAAGGAGACTTTATTGGAACCTTCAATACCAAGAGGAGATGCGCATATCATCGCTTTGCTTAGGTCAGCCCCTCCAACACAGAGTTATGAACCTTGATAAGGTATGCAGTATGCATATAGAGCAATTATCGTTTTCGTCTATTTCTCTGCAATTACTGACTGGATTTCAATGAAACTGTGTGTAAACAATCAATACCAATATGGAAACCATCAATACTAAATGAAAATACGCATATCCTTGCCTTTTTTCAGTCATATTTTTTAACACTGAGTTTATCCTTGGTTAGTTATGCAGTATTAATATAGAGCAATAATCATTTCTGTGCTATTTCTCTGCAACTACTGGCTGGAATTCAGGAAAACTTTGTGGAAACAATCAATGGCAATAGTTGATGAGCATCTAGTCTCTGGCAGACCCTTCAACACAGAGTTATGGCCCTTTATTATTTATGCATTATGCATATAGAGCCATTATCGTTTCAATGCTATTTCCCTGTATCTTCTAGCTTGAATTCAATGCAACTTTATGGGAACCATCAATACCAAGAGGAAATGCTTATATTGCACCGGTCATACCCTTAATCACAGAGTTATGTCCCTTATTTCGTTTTGTAGTATGCGTATAGAGTAATAATTGTTTCCGTGCTATCTCTCTGCAACCACTAGAAGGAATTCAATAATACTTTGTTGAAACAAGCAATACCAATAGGAGATAAGCATATAGTCATCTTGTCCCTGTCAGATCCTTCAACTGAGAGTTATGACCCTTGATTAGTTATGCGGTATGCATATAGTGCAATAATTGTTTACGCGTTATTTCTTTGCAATATCTGGCTTGAATTCCATGAAACTTTATGAGAATTATTTATACAGAGAAGAGATGCGCATATCATTGCCATGTTTAGGTCAGGGTTGCATTTCGGACGGATTTTAGTCGTTAGTGCAAAGCTGTGAAAAAAAGTTCTAAGTATAATTTTAAGACTTAACTAAGTACTATTCCTATGGGTGTCTAAGGGCACTACTAACATATGTCATAAATACAAAAACAAGTGCTTAAAAACATTGCAGCTCTTGTTTTACTGTATGATATAGATATATGTATACGTAAAATGAAAGGCATAAGTGAAGAAAAAGTTATTAACACCTGTAATATTAAATAATTTTTAGTCAATGTATTTACACTGATTTAATATGACTTATGATAAGTTTTGGTTATCTGTATATAACTTAATTCAATACATTTAAGGTAAATATAACTTTTGTTAAAATTAACTTGTACATTTTTGCTAACCAGTGTAATGATAGGTTTTATTAGTCAAAAAAATCCGTACCGCTCATAGTTTATGACTCACATTGTGACTGATATGGCTTTGTCGGACTTAGTTTGGCGTGTGTTTTATTTTCAAGATTCAGTTTTTTTTTTAATTTACATAAAATTCAAACACGACATTATTCACCTATAAACAGATAAAGCAGTCAAGTGCATTATTAAATCTACATTATATATGCATGGCATAAAAAATGGAAGGATAACACATCATATGTAGTCAGATATGACGTCAATAAACCATATGACGTCATTTAAATAACTTCTACGCATAATAGAATTCATCGTCGGATACCGACGGCCGAACCATTAACATTCTGTGACATGTTTATAAATCATGTAAATCGTGGGTATCCGACGATGAATAGAATTCAAATGTTTTTATTTAGGAAAAAGATATCAATTCTGAGTGCATTGTTGTAGAATAATGCACGGTTTGAGTTCAAATGCGTAGTTATATAATCACGAGGGCCGATAGGTCTGAGTGATTAATTACAAAGCATTTGAACGACATATATACATTGAAGATTTAATATCTATTTCCATTCTAACACGTCAAAAAAATATAATTATTATTATTATTATTATTATAATAAAGTTGGACTTTATGTTTGGTGGTTAAATTTGTTTTCGCCTCAGAGGTTCCAATAGAAACGTTCTTTAAAGGCCGTTCCAGTGGGTTGAAAAAAAAAACTGTCGTTAAATCTACCGTGTGTAGAAACATTTTGAGAATAACGAATTTTGAAAACGTTGATAAAACTTTGTTTGTTTATTTTATTTCAGTCTATAATTTTCCAAGCAAAATACAAATTATTAAAAGTGAAATAAATGTAAAACTTAACTCGTCTGCGACATTAAAATAGCGTACTTGATTTTGATTGTTTTGCATGTGCTGTTTGGCGCTATATTGTGACGTCACGTAAACAACACTTTAAACGTCTGTACAGCGTTAACGACTGAATTAAAGATATTGGTGTTCGATTCACTTTCTTAGTTAGGCCATTTTCTTTCATTCTACATAGTTTTCACAACAAAATTCGACAAAAGTTGTTTTTATTTATAAGATTTTTCAAACAAAATGGCGCCCTCAATGTAAAAATACACAGGGAGATAATAAGAACGGCGAGTGCATTGTTGTAGAATAATGCACGCTTCGGGCCTTCTTTGTTTATATAGAAAAATTTCCGATAGTGTTAGAATGATTATTTTGATAGAAATATATATCATTTTCTTATGTTACAGTAAAATAACGCATGGTTAATCGTTCAAATGTTTTGTAATAAATTACTTAAGGCCTACCAACCTTAGTCATTACATTCCTTCGCATTTGAACTAAGAAGGCGCACTATCCTACAACAATTCACTCAAATTAGACTTATTTCCTAA